GTGTTTCGTTGGTATGGTGATGTATCGATCGTGATTCGTTGGTATGGTGATGTATCGATGGTGTTTCGTTGGTATGGTCATGTGTCGTACCTGTTTCCTTTCTTGATAGATGAATGAAAACCAGAGTACGAGAAAACGTGCAGACGCAGTGAAAGTTCTCTTAAAAGGTACACTCTTTGATCTTAACAAAACACTACATTCTTTATTTCCCCTCATGTATATTAGATTACTTGATAAACCTTATACGATAAATTTGACAATATTCACAAAAGTTCTTTTCTGTCATTTGAATTGCAGTCTCTTTCCATGTAGAGGCTTTTAAAATTATGGCGCACCTAGCTTAAGGTCAAACGTCGAATTTCACATGAACCGAACGTAATGACATCAAAGACTGCCTTTTGTCCATTGTTTCAATTAGGTTCGGCTCATGTGAAGTTTGACATTTCACCTGTGCCTTAGCTGACCTATTGAATAACAGAATCAGCCTGTAAGGAGATGGATTTGATTATTCTTGTCAAACACGTTGACATCATTTACAAAGGCGCCAAAACTTGTCGATTGTTTACAAGTATTATGAGCCACACTCACCGGGCCTATCAGGGCCGATCCAAACGCGTGTAAATGACGTCAACGTGTTTGATTGACGGCAGTCTATTGCAAAGTGCACGTCGCGATTTTTGTTTAGGGTGGCCGCGTAGCAAATGGTGCAAATGGTGCAAATGCAAATGGTGGTAACTCGTATTCAATAACAAGCTTCATGTACTGTTTAATAAACGAGCAGTAGCCGAGTGGTTTTAGACCCGATAAAACACGATCTGCGAGTTTATTAAACGGCTTAAAAAACTCCTGATGTATGTTCTCATACTGTACCGAATTCTTTACGAAATGAACCAAGTTTGATAGAGAAAATCCAAGTTAAAGTTTATGCAAACGAAGACGAATCTATATCAGATATAAAACCTCCTTCATGGTCATGATTTCTATTGTGTTTCCTTCATGAATTATTAATGAGTTTTTTAAATGATTTTAACATTAGAAAACGAATATTTGAATACCTTGAGATTTGAACATTATTGGATAAGGGTGATATAACTAAGTAACACGTTTCCTTCTGTGATTGGATAAAGTGTAAATTTGGTCGGGTTGTTATTTGATCTTAGATTGGTTGAGAGTGCGCGGACTGTTGCGACTGGCATGCGAGCCCTGATCGCTTTCCGCTCACTTGGAATTAAATTACACTAAATAGTAATCATTAATTAATGCTTTAAAGAAAAGTACAGAATAAGTGCAACAGCTCCAGCAACCAACACACATATCACCAGCAGACAACACATCTTTTTCCTTGCAGCTTTCTGGAAAAAGGAAAGACTTGTTAGGGTCGAAAAATAGATATGGAGAAGTGAAAACGTGCGATGATTGGCGTCAACTAATATGCATGGCGAGTTAGGTGTATTGGACAGACATAGGACTTTGGGACTGAATTTAGCTCCACCTTCTCATAAGCGAGATGAGCCTAACAGTCCTATGCATTAAGAGATCTTTACCTACCGCTTTTTGTGGCTTCGGAAAGAATTTTTATGGTATACCTGATATTTGCTTGCTTTTTCAAGTTGAATATTGGCAGTGCTAACATTGTCATGAGCTTTTTCAACATTGCCTTCAATTGAATCTAAAAAACAATATCAACAACACTTCAGTACTTGAACGTACATTTTTAAAATTACAGGACCAACCCCAATATGACAGGAAACTCAGGAAGAACTTGGAACTTGAGTGAAATTCCATACCCTGTTTATGATAAGAAGCACGAAAAACCATACCCTGTTCAGCGGATCATCCCCGTATAGTCTATATATGGGAGAACCCCCCCGCCCAAGGGACCAACCCCTCTTCAATCGAAAACAAGAGACCTTGGAAATGGGGCATCAATTCTTTCCTTCTTTCTTCTTGTCCTTGTTCCTATTCTCCCTTCCTTTTTTTCTTCTAATTTTCCTCTTTGACAATAGAAATTAGTCAAATCCAACTAGTGGCCCTATCATCGATGCTGTGTTCTGGTTGGATGAGCTAGTACTAGGCTATGACTTTGTCTCACAGGTTAATGAAAACCACTGGCTATTGAATTAAAATAATGTTTTACAAACTAAAAAGAAAACTTAAATCCATTACTGAATATCAAATACTATAGTAAAATACCTATCATTTCACCCTGCTCATACACCATCCCTGCCAGGTCACGAAATATCTCATTGATGTCCAGAATGTCTGACTGGAAATGATCAAACACATTAATGGTTACCTTATGAATACTGAAAAAATAAATTTCTCTTATTTTAAAGTCATTATAATCAAGTTGGAAGAGAGGGTTCTCATGCACCCATAAGATATATTTAGGATGGGCCGAGTGCATACCTAGTCATTCCAAGTCATTCCAGTTGTGAGTGACAAATACTCCTTTGACTTGACAGACACTTTCCCATGAGAAATAGGCTGTTGAGTCATGGGAATATTTATATCACTCATGATCAGAATGCACTCAACCCATTGTAAATTTAATTGACGGTAGCCAAAGTGTTTGATGTCTGAAGTTGGTTAGGTTGTAGAAAAATGAAATAGGATGTACATTTTTTTCATAATCATCATCAACATCATCATCAACAACAAAAGTGGCAGCACCAACAGTACTATGGCCACAATGAGTCTCGTAGTCATCAACCATTCCAATAATTATTTAATGATCACCTCATGACCAATATTTTCAATCTGACCATCAGCATCATCTTCATCATCCACCTCTCTACAACCATTACTACACATCTCATCATGAGTATCAACAATAATACTAACAATGATGAATATCAACGATAATATAATGATAAAAATGACCTTTATTAGCACYAACACAATCACTACAGATTATCATTATCATGAAGTGTTCATCATCACCACCTACTACAACTATCAATATTATCATCATCATCATCATCTACAAGGCAGTCAAGGGCATTGTTACAAGAATGACGTCATATTTTGTCTTAGTCTGAGTTCCATTATGAAGAAGAAAAAAAGATTTTAGTCCACCACCCCCAGTCCACCACCCTCTTTAACCCCCCCCCCCGACCACCACCATCCCCTTAAAAATTGTTCCTTGGGTCCCCTCCAACTTTAAAAAGTGTTTTGCTTTGAGTCACTGTCAACTCTTCATAGGACCTTACTTCAATCTGTCTTATTCTGTCTTCCCTTTCATACATGATGGCTTCATCAACAGCTATTTGTTGAAGAAGTTGTTGGTCTGCTTCTCTGAAAGTGTAAAATCAATATCTTTAGAAGGGTATGTTTCTTGAAAACCCTAGCATTGTGGATGAAAAAACAAAACACTATAAAATGAAATGCAGAATGTCCTTGACCCCTCTCCAACAAGTGTTCCTTCCATTGCATATCACATCGTTGAACAAATGTTTATTCTAACCTTTTGCTTTCATCATCTACGAGGCGCATTTTGTCTGACTCAAAATCACCTGCTGTTCGCTCCTGTCTTTGCTTCTGCAATAAAATAGACAATTCAGTAGTGAGTATACCAAAGTTCAAAGGCAAAAATATCCAAATATTAGCCATTCCAAGGTTGAGGAAAAAACTGGGTTGAGTGTTGGCACTGCACTGCATTGTGAAACTGTATTAGGGAACACTTCCAAGATGGAGTCTTTTTCATCCCCTATAATATTCTCACATTGCACTACAATGCCAACTCCACCCAGTTTTTTTCTTGTAATGCCTAATGAACTTTTGCAGTCATTTGGAACTGCAAGTTATCTGCAGTCATGGGTTTACATCGTATAGCCTTTGTCGTCAAACACATGCATCTATCAGTTTATTTTTATTTTGACAGAGATTTACAAGTCATAGATGTAGTAATCTAAAGTACAAATCCACATTCTTAACAATAACTTAAAAAGGTCAAAACACTCACAATGCTAGCAGACTTCACAATGAGCTTCTCTTGTTCAGCAATTTTCTGAAAGATTCAAAAATTTATTGAAACATTGCTGCCTATTTTGTAAAATACCTATACGCTGCAAATGTAGAAGATAAGCTTAATTTTCACCAGTTCCCTAGCACTAACTAAGGAAACTGGGAAGCTGAACATATCTATCGCCTTCCCTGCCAGGATTCCTAGCAAGATACTCAATTTAGCTATCAGCAGTCATTTTAGATTTTTCCAATAAGCTCAAAGGAAATGAGCTTAATACTAAGAGTCAATTACAGTAAATTATTTCAAGCATTGGCTCATTTTCAATGACCAGACTACAGAAAATAACAAAGGCGTTAACTTTATAATATGTGTATATACATTTTGCGTAGCTGACGCCAAAATTTGTGGACGCATATATAAATGAAATCTATGAAAAAAACAATGAGGGAAAAGATTGCCATTGCAAAAAGATTTGCAAGATTTGACATTGTAAACATAAAACAGAGGCTTTGCACCATTAAGTGCTGGTGCCTATAATACAGCTTGGACTGCCTGTGGTTAGATGGCCGAATAATAAAATCCCTCTGCTCTTGGGAATTGAATCCTTTCTCATGTAAAACAATTGTACTGTTCCTGCCATCTAACATGGCTGTCTTCACGTGATGGTGCAAAACCTCTATTGTCTGGGAACATATCCAGTGTGTCTGGCTTTGAAGATATTGATTATCCATCATACATACATTTTGAGCAGAGTAATAGCGCGATACTGATTCTCTGAATTCCTCCTTCAACCTTTCATGTTGAATTCGCAATTGTCGCTGAAAGTACAAATAATTAGAAGTGAGATTACATAGTTTTTATTATGGCTCCTTTGCCTTATAAAATTACAATCCTGCATTATAGTAATGTTTCAGTTTATTTAATGTACTTATAATTTAATAAGGTATATGACATGTATGTAAAACTTTATTTGTACTCACAGAAGAGCCACATAGTGAGCTCATGCTCTTCAACAAATTTGTTGTTTGGGTAGCTAGTTTATTGGTCCCTTGCTGCAGACGATGTCTGATAAAGACATTAATCATACAATTCAAAATCCAGTCTTGAAGGGAGAGGTGGTATGAGGGGAGAGAGAGGGGGAGGGATGAGACTATTAAGGCCCGTAGGAAGCCAAACAGGCAGGCAGCTGGAAGTATAGTGGAATAAAAAGTATGCAAAAACTATGACTGAATGAAATGGCATTCATGCATTAGTCTTGACAAATAAAAACATATAATAAAAAGAGTGTTTTCAAAACTAATTCAGATGCTGCTCTTTGACCAAACTTAACATCACAAATAATTTTAACGCCTGACTTGAAGCAGTGTGTGTGATTGAAGTGGACTTTAAATTTGATTATTTTCACACTAACTAGCAACACTAACACTCACATTTTCTCTTGTGGTACTTCATCTCTACCAGTTGATATTTGTCTAAGAATCCTTTCTAATGCAGACGCTATATTCATCAGGAAGATGAATTGAGAAAATCAGACATGGTAAAATAATTAAAAATATTGGAATATATTATTCATTTATGATTACTTACTGTTACTGTTGATTTGGAAAATATTGCTGCTCACTGAATCACTTAACTTTTGGAATTTTTCCTGAGAATCTCCTGTGAATGATCCAGCAAAATAATATGAAAATTGTAAAACATAAACAACCAAGTGTCTATAATAACAAAGTGTCTGTATTAAGGCTTTGTCATAATGTAATAATAATAATAATAATAACTATCCCCCTGGGTAATCTCTCATAGCTCCTCCTAAAAATTTTGCATCCCCCCCAATTCTCTGGGGGAAAAAAWAAAAAACTCCCCCATTTTACTGGTAAAAATTTTTTCCGATCCCCCCTAAATTTCACCTCCCCTCCTCTGCCATACATTATGAACGTAGCCTATGAGTACATGTAAGTGTTTGATCATTAGGTGGGGTTTGACTGTGTTCTTGACTATTTGTTTTAACCAATTTTGATTCAAATGCACACTAAATATCACAGTCAAAAATCAAATATTCTTTCCTGGGGCAAAAGATACACCCGCCCCCACTCAAAACTATGCTCATTGGTCCTTGAGATATCAAATGACCAAGCTTTTTTCATGTTAAACATATATTTTAGCTTATAAAATGATTATGAAATCAAAGAGAGGAAGAAAATGTTATGAGAGGAGAGGGATTTAAAGTTTTAAAGTAAAAGAAGTTTTTGGAAAATTACACTGAAGGAGGGGTGTAGGACAACAATCGATATCGCAAGCAATATTAATATCATAATAATTAAGATACAGTGTGGCCCACCTGTTTGAGATCGACTGCTAGAATCATACCCTCCACCGATAGCACCATATGAATGATTATCACGACCACCAAACTCCCCTCGAGACATGATCTGCAGTTAAAACAGTAAGCTGGATTTAGTTTTATGAAACAAAATCAAGATTTATACAAAGCGCTTCCTTTCCTACACCTGCAGCTTGCATGGCACAGCTCGAAACGCTTAGCAGAGCACGCATTTCTTCGGTAACAAACACACAAATGAGATAGCAAGTATTTAGATCTGGCATTAACAGGCTGAATAATAAAAGAATTGAACTCTAGAGAATTGGCTTGCTTTGAAGTCCATCTTTAAGCTAAAATCCCCAATCAATAACGGTATAAGATTAATTAAGCTTAGATGTTCCTCTGGTAATATCTGCAGAATCTTGTGATTAAGCATCGACAATTCTCAAGATCTGGGTTAACTTACGTTTTGTTATGATAGATAGCTGCTTCTACATCTATTTAGAAGTGTCAATGAAGGCAATAAAACGCGGAATTGTAAAATCGAAAGCAAAAATATCACCCTTCTTCGCGCTACGTCTCTGACATCTCGTTTCTGATCAGACTTGAAATACTACCCAGGCCGAGGAAGACATGGACCGAGATTGGGTACCGGAAATGGTCTTGGGAGAGAAATATCTCCATGGATCACAAGTTAAGAATTCTAATTTTGAAAAAATCAATCAAAATAAAATCTATGTTTTATCGACAGGAAGAATATTTTAGCATTGTCATTCATTTTTGAGAGTTATTAGCCTTTGGCACAATCTTACTTGTACTGTATTTCGCAAATTGGGCTCCCTGTGGACTAGAAAATTCCTTTTTTGTCTGACAGATATAACGGGAACTGGTAAAAAATCTTCTTTACAGCTGTAAGACTTAAAGTTTGAGAGAAAGAGAAAAAGGATAGAAGAGAAATAAGAGGAAGAAAAGGAGAGCTTACTATTAATCGAGCCAAGCTGAGAAAATTATTAAATACCATCAATTTTAATCCAGATTTTTTTTCGTATTAAATTATTTGTTTTAAAAATTAAGAAAGAAAGAATAAAAATAAACTAGTATTATGAGAAAATTAAAACTAGGAAAAATGGAGGTCACCGGAAGTTAAGGCGTTAGTACTCATTCCTCCTCATTTTGTCCTCATCTGGACGCCATTTTGATTCAAACGAAAGAGGTCTTCGACCTTAAAAACTATTCACCAACCCTGCGTCTTTAACTTAAAATTACTGATAACCAGAAAGGCGTTTTCTTAATCAAAGATATTCAGAATAATGGCAAGCGGCTTGGTCATAGCAGATACCAATGTCAATTCTGAGCATTCTGGAGATGAGAGCGAAGACGATGATGATGTTGTTGAACAGAGCCCTTGTGGTCGATGGGAGAAACGTCGTCAAGAGGTACAATATAAAGCACATTAATCAGCCCTAAACAAGCCTGTTTCTAACTTACGTTAACGACTGAGTCTATTCATATTCATTGTGACTTTCACTGTTCTAATTCTTGCCAGTAAAACGACTGTGCAAATCCCGAATTTTCATAGCCAGAAAACAGATAGTTTTTTCCTGCCAAAATTAGGTCATAATATAAACTAACCTTTATGTGCATTTTAGCGAATAGAATTTACATTAGTTAGTGATTTAACTGACATTTTAGTGATAGGTCTTGCTAGAAAATATGAAAAGCTTAAGCTTCTAAAGATGTACATGTACATGAAAATACCAATGTCAGGCTTTCAGTGCTACCAGATGACTCGATATCCTTTGAGATATAACTGCCGTCATGTTGGTTGGGTTGATCTAACCTGGCAGCTATGAAGTAACATGCACCTCAATAATTATTAAGTAGACTGCATTAATATTGAAATTGATAAATTTGAAAATTATTGTTACAATGCATGGCTTCATCGTTAGTAGGGTGATATATTTACTTTATTTATATGCTGGAATGACACATGCCAGAGTCGTAATTAACAAGTAAAACAGCTTTTTTGTCCCCCGGGAGCAAAGTCCATGCTTTGTTTATTAATAAAGCACAGTTTTCCACCAATCAAAGCATGGGTACTATCAAAAATCTATAATAATGACTAATAAAATTTCGCATTTGGATACCATTGTTTAATCTGTTTGTATACTTGTTTGTTGAAATAGGTGATGCAGCGTGATGTACCAGGTATTGACCACGCCTACCTGGCAATGGATACAGAAGAAGGAGTAGAAGTAGTATGGAATGAGGTGCAGTTTTCAGAGCGAAAGGATTTCAAAAGTCAGGAGGTATGTCCAATTTATACAATCATAGTATGCTTTATATTATTTATAAGTCAATACATGTATTTGACAGTAAATTTACTATTCAAAAGTTTAAAGTAAGACACTGTTAACAACCTTGTGGAATATAAATGTAAGAGGCTTGGGCATAGAGAGCTGTTGAGAGCCAGTCATCATCAGTCTTTCTTCCTTTAAACTTTAGGACCAGAAGGGTGTTTTGGTGGAATAATATATAAGAATTTATTTGGGTTATGTGAAATTAAAGGTCTGACGGGCATCCAGGCATATTCAAAAGTGTAATTTGTAGTTCCAAAAATTATTCATACCCCCCCCACGGAGGTTTTTTTTAAGACACCCCCCTACACCCGGAAATTCCAATTTTCTTCCATACAAACTCTGTAATTTTGTTCTTTCTCTAACCCCCCCCACCCTTCGGAAATTCCGAATTCCTCTGTGGGGTGGGTATGGATAATTTCTGGAACTACACAATCCACATCTAACTGACGTAACAGTTTGAGTGAACCAAACTGCACTGCAAAATATCAAAAATAATTGCTGTGGTCAAGGTTTATAAGATGTAAAATGAAAACGTACAGTCCTGTCACTAATTTAAATACTCTACAATATTAATGTCATAATGAAAAGATGCCAAAACGTTCCAGTTGATCTGACTGAGCATGCAATGATTTCCATGATCGAAAGCGAATCAGTCCCATCAACCACCATACACTCAATTCACTTGTGACTTCTAGGTGTTCTGACTGAGCATGCAAAGTTTGATTTCAGTGATCGAAAGCTAATCAATCCCATTAACCACCACATACTCAATTCACTTGTGACTTTCTCGCCAAAAAACTTTTTTTGTTGAAAACCAGATACTTTCAATAACAGATATGAGGCTTTACTTAAGTTTTAAACCATCCTGGAGATTGTCAAGGATCCAAGATGTGGAGCTTTTAGTTAATTTCTATCAAGTAAATCAAGAATGTTTTAAGGGTTCATTTCTTAATAAGCTCTATGAAATTAACAATAACCTGAGTGCTGGAAATAACCCCTAGTCTCATCTAGACAGCATACACTTATTTCAATAAAGTTAGTCACCTGAAAAGCTACAAAGCTGAGACCGACAAGGATTACGGGTAGATACATTTTACATGTTTCAACCATTTGATAACTGTTGATGGACTTGAGATCTTCTACCAGTTACAGTCTCACCTCCTCTGAGCATCCTCAACTGCTGCAGTTTGTGTCAAAAGCTTTACTTGTTGAATATGAAATATTTCCCATGGTTCTCAGTGATCACAGCTTTCTACAGTAGGTTTTTGGTGACTAACTTTATTAAAATAAGTATATTATTTAATAAAAGCAGAAACATCCTTAAGCCTTAAAATCTCTCAAAAAACATTTCTTTGTGAAATTTTCTTGCCCATCATTTCCCCCCCCCCCTGAACATCAAGGATTGGACACACAAAGACACATAGGGTTGATTCTTTTTCAAAAAACATGATTGGTGATTTGATTGGCTAATAGTTCTTCCTCAGATCACCTGTTTAAATTTAAGGGGGTGAAAAATTAAGTTAAAAAGAAAAAATACAATGTTGGGCAGTTGGTATTGCTGTAAAAGTTCTTAAAGAAGTTGAAAAGGGCCCTAAAAACAAAGTTTGTTAATACTAATAGTACTAAAATAAAGAGTTGAAGTGTACTGTACTGTATAATTGTGCTGTTTTTAGAACGAGATTGGTGTTCTTGGTTGGATGGTACCTAACTCAGATGAGGTGAGACATCCTCTCACTGCCACCTCTAGGTACCCTGGTAACCAGTCAGTTTGCCCACGGACCAACTCCCCACGCCAATTTGCCCACATATAAGATCGTCGATCATGCGTTTGCCAACTCGTCCATGCAAACTCGCCCACGTTTAGAATTACTTTAAGAAATATCTAACCGTATTCAGCCCTTCTTTCTCGGGCAAATTATTTCAGCATCTCAAATTCACTGAGTCATAACAGAGGACGCTTTAGGAAATTTAGGAACTGTAGGAGACTTCGATAAAAAACTCACTCAATCCTCTGTTACGACTCAGTGAATTCAAGAAATGATTTGCACGAGAAAGAAGGGCTAAATTTCCTGCTTTTTGAACCATGGCCACTCAAATAAGAAGACATTTTGTGATAAATGTTTTATATATCCTTATCCTTTTGTAAAAAAAACAACAACCGATTCAAGATGCTATGAAATTCTAAAAAACTGACAGTAGGCGGCATATTATCATATAACTGGTTTATAGGTACCAGTTTATGAGTTTTTTTGTGAGTTATGGCGTATAAAAAGATCACGTTTTGAAGTCTTGAGCTTAAGTGTCAAGTAATAAGGTTGGTAAATCACGAACTACTTTATGTAGTCTTAATATACGGTTAGATATCTCTTAAAGTTATTTTAACATGGGCGAGTTTGAATGGGCGAGTTGGCAAACGCATGATTGATGATTTTATACGTGGGCAAATTGGTGTGGGCGAGTTGGTGCGTGAGTGAATTGACTGTTAACCTTCACCCTAACCCTTATTGATGTTTTAATAACAGTTAAAAATATATACCTAATCAATGATGTTGTACCTAATGATGATGTGTAAGTATTGTAAATTATTCATGACCATGAAAAGCTTTATTATTCTGATATAAAACCATGTTCATGGATTTTCTCTGCTAGATTCACTCAGTTATTTTGAATAGTAAAACACAAAAGAACTAGAGGCTGAAATACGAGACACAAAAATGTCCAACTTGTAGCTCAACATTGTTGCGGTGCAAGTTCGAAAACAATGTTGCTTGGTTTTACATCCTATCTATCCAACTTGTCAAGTTGGGACTATCATGGGGATATTCTGCACACTGATTCGCTACAAGCTACATAATTCAAGATGGCGGCCGTTTCTGCACATAAAATGTTGCGTGACAAGTTGGAGGAGTGATGAAAAACGAGCAACAAATCACAAATTTGTTGTAGAAAGTTGATCTACGTTCTATTTTTTGCAAGAAGTTTTCCCAACTTGCAACAAAAGATTTTGTTGCGTGACAAGTTGGACGTTTTTGTGTCTCATATTTCAGCGCCTTAACTGAGAGGTTTGATGGGTAATACACAAATGAGTGGCCATGTGGTATCTAATACAAAAACACTCCCAATAATGACATTACCTCAGATTTCATTGTTACATGCAGATTGACACAACAGGACTCGCAACAGGGAAATGATGAAATAGACTGCTGTCAATCAAAAAAAAAATGTTAAAGTGGAGAAACATGGGATAATTTTATTTTAAATAATTACTATATATTATATAATATATATATCTTATTATATAGATATTGATGAAATACCAGGTTTTCTCTAGTGTCGAATGTCTTTCACCAGTGGAAGATACCATATCTTTCACACGTGAAGATAGCGCTGTTGACATAGTAACGTATTTTAATAAAGAATTTTTGAGCTTTTGTTTTATTTAAGTTTCTATTTAAGTTTCGATATCTATATAATAAACAGAACATTACATGGCCGCTTGGAGATATACGAATTTTATCTTCTCGTGTTCAATTTAGATATCTCACTTGTTCGCTGCGCTCACTCGTGAGATATCAATTGAACACTCCAAGATAAAATTCATATCTCCGCGCGCCCATGTAATATCCTCTATATACTACTAATTGTTTCCCATTTTCATTTTCTCTTATTGGTTATATCAGTTACCATTGTTTCCACTTCTATGCACTGATTGAGACAAACTGTCATTACAGGTTAATCAGCGATAGACTACTACCAATCAAACAATTCATTAATAATAATAATAATAAAAATAATAAAAAACTTGGTTAACTTTAAAGGGGGACTAGTATGAAAATTGTTTGAAATGTAATTTGTCTGAAACTTCACTGGAACAATCTTATAGGGTCTAATAATCACTAGTTTTTTTATATATATTTTTACCTAGGTGAAACTATCAGATACCATTATTATTTTTTTACCACAATAGACCCGTTTCGAATTCCAAATTACCGCTGTGTTTCTTGATTACAGACTGATTTGCACAGAGTTAGCCTCGAGTTTGTGCAGAATATTCACGTGTTCCAGTCAAGGTCTGTGGAGTTTCAAAGTGTTTGTATTGTTGAAGTTGTGCATTCTTTACTTTACCCTTGGTATTTGTGAATATTTAAACACTGATACGAGGCTAACCCTGTGCAAATGAGTCTGTGATCAAGGAACACAGCGGTAATTTGGAATTTGAAACTGGTCTATTGTGAATTTCCTAGTAGATAAGTACATTGCAGCCAAACTGGCTGAATTGCATATATTATATTTTATTATAATTGAAATTTAGAAAGTTAATAATACATGTAAATATGTATACGTAAGCAAAACGTAAGAAAAAAAGGTATTATGTTTAAAATATATTTCAAAAATATGTTTAATAATTAAATTCAAAATTTGATGTTTTCTTTCATCACAGGAAACTATCAAGAAAGTGTTTGAAAACCTTATCCAGCTTGATGTGAGTATCTTAATGCATTATCCTTTACTGGCAATGTTTAAAGTGATGTTCATGATTATGATGATGATGTTGTGTTGTTGATGATGATGATCATCATCATAGTGGTTTTGTTGTTGATGGTGATGTTGGTGGTGATGATGTTGGTGATGGTGATGATTAAGATGTTTATGATGATAATGACGGTAGTTGTTGTTGTTAATAGTAACAATGGTATTGGTAGCGGTGATGGTGATGATTATGATGATGATAATGGTAGAAAAGTTGGTGTTATGGTGGTGGTGATGATGATGATGATGATAATGGTAGAAAAGTTGGTGTTATGGTGGTGATGATGATGATGATGATGATAATGATGGTAATAATTGTTGTTGTCAATGGTAACAATGGTGTTGGTAGCGGTGATGGTGGTGGTGATGTTTATGATGATGATGATGATGATAATGGTAGAAAAGTTGGTGTTATGGTGGTGGTGATGGTGATGATGATGATAATGATGGTAATAATTGTTGTTGTCAATGGTAACAATGGTGTTGGTAGCGGTGATGGTGGTGGTGATGATTATGATAATGATGTTGATGATGATGATGATAATGGTAGAAAAGTTGGTGTTATGGTGGTGGTGATGTTGGTGATAGTCGTGGGGATGCTGATAATGGTTGATGATGACAATGATAATGAAGTCAATAATGTTGTTGATGATTACCAAGATTTAGTAGCATGTTGATGTTGTTGATAATATTTAACAATTATTTGCAGAAGGCAAAGTGATTATCTGTGAAATATTTACCGAGCCGTGAGTCTTCCAGCGGCAAGGTAAATATTCCCTGGTATTTACTGAGCCTGAGGGGAATAATTGTTTGATTATAATTTTAGACTTAAATATCAGAGAAAAGTCAAAATTCATTATTACTTCCAAGATGGCAATCTTTAGAAAACCTCATAATAACCACTCCAGCAGTGATTGTCGTCTCAGAATCACTGGACGCTCGACCAATCACAGCGCAAGAAAGTCCATATTTAAGTCTAAGATTATACATATTATTAATAATGATTATGATAACTAATGGTAATCTGATGTTCATGTTTATTTTATCACTTTCGAGCTAAGACTAAACTATATTATATTTCATGTGTTTACTAGTATTATAACCTCTATTTCCAACATTTTTGATTTCAGCATCCCAACATTGTTAGTTTTCACATGTTCTGGACAGATGTACAGCCAGATAAGGCGCGTGTTATCTTCATTACTGAGTACATGACGTCGGGATCACTCAAGCAGTTTCTGAAGAAGACACGAAAAAATGATTACAAGACTCTTAACGAAAAGGTTTGTATCTCCCAAACCAACTGTAGATTTGTATAGGGGTGTAACCCTCCTCTTCCCCCTGGCTCCCAAACCAACTGCAATTCTTATTTGTAGGGTAGGGGGTTATAAATACTATGGGTCAGGTCCCTAGTTTGATTCTTGTGGATGCACAACTGAATAGAGTTTGATTGATCTGTTGTTATCTCCTTTGCCACAAGCACTTTTCACTAGGTTCTCTAGCTTTTCTCCCTCTGCAAAAATCAACATGCAAGTTGAGAGTTGCCTCGTGCTTAGAATATTAGATGCATTGGAAGTGATAATGGTAGTAACGATTTGTTTATCTGATAACCTTTCACAGTGTAAACACTGAATAGGACTTTAGCATGATGGCGTCATTTGACTCCCACTACCATAATGCTTGGCAAATTTTCTTTCTTATTTAAATTTGTATTCCCTCATGAGAATAGTGAGACAATTGGTGCTTATAAACTGATTAACTCTGCTACCCCTCATGGATCCACACTACTTTGACAATGTGATGACGCAATTTATGGTTAATAAGAGGATAGACACATAAAAACTTTGTCAATTTGTTAATTATTCATTTGCATGTTACATACTGTCACTTTTAGGTATGGAAGAGATGGTGTCTACAGATTTTGTCGGCATTAAGGTTAGCATTAATTCATAATTTTATATTACCAATGTTTTCATATTAATATTTATCCCACATTATAGAGAAATGAATGGTTGTTGTATTGATTGTGGTTATTTTAGATTGCTTATTTTCTGTAGTTGAGGATTTGTCATGTATTACTATCATTGAATCAAAATCAAATTTAATTATATTTTATTGTATTTTTCTAGTTACCTCCACAATTGCGATATTCCTATAGTTCATGGTAATCTATCTTGTGATACGATATTCATCCAACATAATGGCTTGATCAAGATTGGTTCAGGTATGTAAATAAATCAAGAACTTTCTTTTAGAACAAGTATCACTGATGGAATCTTGTGCTTTATATTTCAAATCATCAAAGGATGCAAACTAAAAATCATTACAAGAATAGCTTATTGTTCACAGACTTTATGAATTATGGAAAAGGAAGATTGGTATTTCCATTGGTATGACTGCCAATTACCCCTACTTCTTGGACAAAGGGTACCTCCCAGGGGAAAAAAGAAATCTTAAAGTGCCTACATGTATCACCCTTCTGACAATATTCACAGTATTGATTCTACATATAAGGAGTAATCATTTCATATACAAAACATTACTGGCACAGATAAATTAAATTTGAAATATGCCATTGTTTTCCCCACTGCTCTTATATAAATTATTGCAAGTTAGTTTTCACATAGCAGCTTTTTTTTTTTTTTGTTTCAATATACAAGAAACAACAAATAACCATAAATACCTTCTCATATGTCGCAGCATTAGCATATGGCATGGAAAAACCCTCATGACTTCAAGAAGCCGCACTCAAACTATGAATTTTTTTCGGGTCATTCAACATCTTACCCCATGTAGAATCAATACTGTGAATATTCTCAGAAGGGTTATAGGCACTTTAATTCTACTTTCTTCATTTCATTCTCGCATTCTGACATGCTTCTTTTCTGATTATTATTCCAGTTGCTCCAGACACCATCCATAATCATGTGAAGACGTGTAGGGAAGAGAGAAGAAATATGCATTTTATTGCACCTGAATATGGTGAGCTTGCTTGCTGGCCTATACACTTGACGATAACTATAATAATTTCACTCTGCTAAGGGTGATGGAGGTTATACTTATGCTATCTATGAGGTTGCTCAGCCAATGGACAACTTCGACGATGCCGCAGCCATCTTGAATCACAAGGCATTTTGGATCATTCAGGGGGCAAATATATAAAGTTTTGTTACAATAATGGTGCTAATTGTCATTTTTGGTTCATAACAAGACAATTTGACAAGAGAAGATTTTAGAAAATGCCTTTATTGCCTTTTTTGGTAACCTGTCCTAACTTGTTTCTTGATCATGCCGTAGCATTGAAAACAGTAAGAAAGTTGAAACGGACTGTTTTAAGGATAATGTTTATAAAATATTATGTCCAAGCTTAAGAGGTCTAATAATCCTTATGATGGTCTATATATATCCCTGTTGTTGTTGTTGTTTAGGTAAGCCTGGTCATGTTGTTGATTGTGCTGTTGATGTTTATGCTTTTGGAATGTGTGCATTAGAGGTGAGTGATGTCATAAAAATATTATCTATTATCTCTTTATAAGCCAGCATAAATGTTACACTTGATGTAAATGTAAACGTTTTCGGAGTGTAGCTCCCTCAGACTTGATAAGTTGAATGGCCATTAAGAGTTGAGTGACTTCCATGTCTCTAATATCATACTATGAATCAACACATAACAGAATGCAAAACATGAAGACTATAACATATTTTTCTATTTCTTTTATCTCTAATTAACTTGTCGTTACGATGGAGAGTAGGTGCCTGGCAAAGCGGTAGGCGATGGCAACTAGCTGGCAAGAGGTAACCATGGCAACCAAGCCACGGGTCAACCTCCATTACTCCTCTCCAAGCATTTAGTGTGGTGCTTGGAGTTGGTCGACCCGTGGCAGGAGCCATGGGACCGACTAACACCCAAAA